AATTTCCATTTAGATGTTTTTTTTCAGTAACAAGCAAAAGCAAAAGGCTTAATTACTGCAATCAATCACATTTTTCTGTTCAGTTTTGTGTTGCTCTTGATACTATAGATATTCCCAAAGGACAGATGTCAGCAGTTCCCAAATGTAAAAAAATATTAAGCAGTTCCATGAAGTTGGTGAAAAGTCTCAGAGGGGTAGTCATGTTAGACTGTAACTTTTAAAACAATGAGCAGCCCTGTGGCACCTTTTACACCATCAAAAACATATAAGATCATGAACTTTCATTGCTAAGGATTTAAAACAACTTAAACAACAAAACACGGAACTCAGACATCCAAGACCGTTGACAAACCTAGGGTTTTTGACAATTTTTTACTAGAACCTGAAGTTTTGCCAATACACCATAAAATATTTTTAAAAAGCCATCACATACATCTTTCCCATTTATAATCAATCACAATTCTGAACTCCATGTTCTCATTTATTCCTCCCCCTCACCACTATCTTGCTGTTGATCCTTTCCCCCAAACGTTTATCATTTGTGATCCTTTTTTGCATTATTCTCAACACCTCTTTTCACAATTTTCAGTCTCTATAAAATTTAATGCGCTTTACCATGGTTTCCTTTGATTTTTTATTTTTCTTTTTTCCTTCCTTATTTTTCTGTATCTTCTGTTTGTTTCTTACTCATCCTACTTAGGAACACAGGAATTTCCATATTACATCAGAACAAAGATCCAAGTGGGCATCTACCAGATGCTTCAAAAGAAAGTAGAAAATTCTCATAGGCTACGTCTAGACTGGCAAGATTTAGCGCAAGTACTCTAAACGCAAGAGTTTTTGCGTTAGAGTATTTGAGTAAGAGAGTGTCTATACTGGCATGTGCTTTTGCGCAAAAGCATCCGTGCCAGTGTAGACGCTCTCTTGTGCGAGAAAGCTCCAATGGCCATTTTAGCCATCGGGCTTTCTTGCGCAAGAAATCAACTTGGCTGTCTACACTGGCCCTCTTGCACAAGAGGGCTTATCCCTGAGTGGGAGTGTCGGAGTATTTGCACAAGAACCACTAATTTTGTACAGTCTTGCCGGCCAGTGTAGACAGGTGGCAAGATTTTGTGCAAAAGTGGCTGCTTTTACGCTAAATCTTGCCAATGTAGACACAGCCATAATGTATATGCCATAGGGATATACTTATGCCTATTTACCGGTCTTCTCTTTCATTCCATTTATTTTTCATGCTCCATTTTCTTGTCACATTCTTCACTTATATCTGCCACATCATTTTCCCTTGATTTAAAAAGTGGACTTTCTGCCCACCTACATCTTGTCTACTTTGTACAGTTCTATGTCAAGCTCATCATTGTAGCATCTGATCATTTTCCAGTAGTGCATTAAGCAACATGAATACATATCTGTCACATATTTGCTCTTTTGTTATGGTCCTTATTTCCTATGGGATATTGTTCCTGTGAATATAGTTTAGAGTAGGGATATTAAATTGCATTTAATCAGCTAATCGAGTAGCCGCTGGAATTTCCATCAACTACCCAATTAGTCCATAAGCGGGAAAACTGCAGAGCTGCAGCAGGGTAAGCTCCTAGCCCAGGAGCTAACCCCGCTACGGCTCTGCCTTTCAAATATATTAAGAGCTGCCAGGCTCTTAATACATTTAAAAAGCAGAGGCGTAGCATCTGGGACCAGTTGCAAGCTGGGACGGCTGATTCCTGGCTTGAGCTTGGTCTCTCTACCCCAGCTCGTGACCAGACCCCTGCCTCTCCTACCCCCCCAAAAGAGACAGTGCTGGGGGGAACCAGCCTATTAGCCTGCTTAGTAATGATTAATAATTACTCGACTAGTCCCTTACATCCCTAGTTTAGAGCATCACTTTAATCTTTTCTCAGTTCCCTGCCTCCTCCCTGCTGCTCCCTTTCCATTACCATAATTTAGAAGTCCAACTGATTTCATAATCAAAGGCCTCCACTCTCTCTTAACGTCCCAGAGGAACAGGGAGTGTCAATCAGATGAGCTAGCATATATACCTACTATGCCAGAACACTCAATCTCAGCATTCTCCACAGACAAGCATCCCTTAGCTGTGTGTAAGTATTATGAATCGTGTATCAGAAATCATTGCTAGTAGCATCATGAAGGAAAACGGCCCAAATGCAAGCTGAAAGATCGGCTCATCCTTAACTATGCTTCATGTTTCCAGCACATTTTACTAGTGGATATTAGCTTAAATTTAAACCTGTGAACTCAGGAGATATTTGAAGATTGATTACATCCTGAAGTAATTTTATGTTTTTTTAAATGTATTGTACAGGTGCAATCTTGAATAAGTTAAGTAAAATTTCCTGAAATAATATAGTTTAGCCCTAGCCTGATACCCAAAAATACTTATCAGGTCTCTGAAGTTTCATCGTAAAGGTTTTCTATTAAGATTTTTTTATGGCAAAACTATTCATATCACAAAACAATTATTTACTCCTAGGCAATTTTGTTGGTTGATTGGTGTTATTTTGGTTCTGAAATTAAGAACAGCACAGGAAAAACTTGAACGTCTGCTGATTTAGCATATGCAATGTGTGTTCTGCTTTGTTAACACATAACATAGTGGTAATGCCTGATGGCCAAAATGGGCTAGTAGCCATCCAGAGCAGTGTTCAAGTATGCTTAAGTGATGGGTAATCAAAGACACTGGTCAGAGTTCTCATTGAGGTCACTAGTCAGGCTATCTAATCCAAGGGCTGGGACAGTAAGTTAAAACAGTGAGTTGACAACTCAAGGTGAGGCAACATAGCAAGGCAGCCAGGCAGGGTTAGGCAAGGCAGCAGGGAAGTATAATAAACTTATGCAAAAGTAACAAGACAAGGCAATGGTCTGTGGCTCAGACAGCTTCCTCTTCCTACTAGGATCTTTATATAGCCTAGGTGAATCATGTGAATCAGGGGCCTGGGTGCAGCTGTTGTGGGACTAAAGGCTTGATCATAAAGGTGGGTGTTTGGGGGGTTGGTTCAATGTACTGACATGACAGAGACTAGAGATACCATGTAGACTCTCAGCAGAATGAGATTCAATATTGGCATTCTAACAATAGCTAAACAGAAAAAAGCATGAGCCCCATCCCATGTAAGACCAGTGGCAAGATCATATATAATCCTCAAGTATCTAGAGACAAATTCTACAGTTAGAAAGTATGTTGCTTTATATGAAATATTTCACACACCAATACATACATTGCCTTTGACAAAGAGTATAGATTAAATGGCACTAGTGAATATGAACAATGGTTTATAAGAGCATCAAAATCATTATTTTTTTTAAATCCCTACAAAGAAAGGTAATGCCCTACACAGAGGAAGACATTCTTTCATTCCATAGCACACACCCTTGTATTACTGCAGGATATAAAACAACACAAAATAGAACTAATTGTTTAGCCCACTCAGGCTTTAATCATTTAGCATCAAAGGTGACAAGTCCCGTTGTGTTAGTTAATTTCTTCAGCTTTAAGATGCATATTTCATCACAGCTGTATTGGGGCAATTTATGCACTAGGAACTTGACAGATCCAACATTGGCTCCGTCCCCATGCCTCTACTCTCTTGGAGTGGTTGTAGCAGAAAGGTTGGCACCAGTTTTATACTCCTATTTTCCCTCTACAATTTAAGCTCCCCCTCACCGCAGACCAGTGGTCCTAAAGTTAATACCCCACTGAGATGCAGTTTCTCTCTCAAAACTTCTGTTGAAGTCTGACTGCAAAGTTACCCTGCTGTCACTGCACAAGTTATATCTGGGTCACATTTTCAAGTTTTTCTTTGCAACCAGGAGTGTCAGAAAACGGTGGGTTAGAAAATTCTTTTTACATTTAAATAAAAGCTGAGATTCTGATGTAACAATAACTTCAGGAACAGTGAACTTCATTCTTTGTTCTCAGAATCATGCAGCTAAGCCAGTTTATTTTAAAAAAAAAACATTTTATTGGAAGTGAGCATGTCAAAGAAATCACTACTAATTCTTGCACAATAATCTTAATTTGTGCAATCCTTGCAATATCCATTGTCCTGTATGACAACATAAATTGTTAATAAGTCAACTTTTATCTTACATTACACTGTCAACAAAACTGTATAATTTGAAGCACTATCATACTCAAAACCATTTACATTATTTAGCTCTACTTATTAGTATGGTCCTCCATATTTATTTGTGGTTTAATAGCCACTCCATTGTATCAGAAAGTTATATTCAAGATCCTGTCACAATGGCACAAAATTTCACAGTAGTAAACCCTGAATTTCACAGAAATACTTATTTGAGCATCATGAAATACCCTGCATTCTTGTCCTCCCCTGCTCATACAAAAACATGCACATCTCACAGCTAAAAATATTTATTTGTGTGGAATTAATCATTATTACTGTCATGTTTTAAACTATGCTTTCAGAGCAGTTTAGCTCCATTCTTGTAGCCTCCACTCTCCTTCCTTTAATATACGCCAGGAAAGGGGACTTAGTAACCAGCTTCTGAAGCTCCTTTCCCCATTCACTACACCTTTGTTACTGCTATTCTTCGCATGGTTTACGTTTCTCCCTCCTTCCACTCCCTAGCTACAAGTTGGATTCCAGCTCTTGGTTCTCAAACCTCTTGCTACCTGGATACATCAAACAGTGCAGGGATTATGCACTGTAATCCAATTATTGCCCTCTTGTTGGGAAGGCTAGAGAGCAAGAGGCACCAGCAGGCAGTTTCTGGCAATGCAGGGAGATAAATGTTGTTCAAAACTTGGCGGTAGACAATATGGCCAATTCCATAGCACAAATGTTGAGTTCTGTGGTAGTTTGGAAAAATGAAAAATCCCATCATCATGCTCCACGTTGGTTCTATCACAGGTTAATGAAACAATTTGCAGCTCTCATAACTAATATAACCATCAGAAATTTTAAGCAGAACACAGCTGTTACACCAAAAATAAAATATACAGATAAATTCAAATTTTTTACCTGTTCTTCCCCAGCAAAAGAACACGCAAAGACCTAAGAGTTGAAAGCCCACTTATTTCCTCTATCTGATTATCATATAAATCTAAGAAAACAAGATGCTGTAGATTAGAAATATTTTGGATCCGAGTTATAAAGTTATGCTGGAAGTTCAACAGGCGAAGATGCTCGTCCCCATCAATAACTGGACAAACTGTCAGTTTTTGTCTGAAAAAGATAGGTAAGTAATAATTTTGTAATAGATTATTAGAAAATTAAAAAACAAAGTAAGTGATAAGAATTAAATGTATTTGTAAATATATTGTGTAAATGTGAACTGTACCAAAGAATCCTGAAGAGATTACAATTTTCAATATTCTATTCTGCTAATTAAACATACAGAATAAAGCCATTTCATTGCACTTTATTGTTAAACTTAATTTTACTTTAAAACTGTTAGAACTGCAGGATGTTAACTGAACTTAATATACAATTTTTTCACCAAATTATAATAAATATGGCTAAAGGCTTCCAATGTTTCCTAAAACCTTTCTTTTAATCATCATCTATTTACCTGTTAGTCAGCAGGGCTGGTAATAAGGATGTGAATGTTTAACCAGTTGACTGGTAAGCTCACCCTTAAGTGGTGATGCTCACCGGTTAAGGTTAAGCAGAAGGGGCTGGAGCAAGCTTCCTTCCTGCGGTGGAGGGAGGGGGCCGCTTCAGACCACTGGCAGGTAAGGGAGTCCCTCCAGTCTTCCCAACTCCTCCCTTTAATTAATTAACAAGTTAAACAATATGTTTAACTGGTTAACCAATTATTTTACATCTCTAGTTGCTACAGAACCATCAGTTTCCTTGGTCCACATGATAGTCCCCCAATAAGCAGGAGTTGCCAAAGTCTTCCTGGATACCATATCAGCAGTCCATATTTATATTAATGCCAGTCAAAAACTATCCTTTTGACACTTTTGGGGTAGGGGATTAATTGATTTACTGAACTTTTAATTTATAAAACTAATAAATGAAACAATATATTTTAAATAGGACAAGTAAAAACAAAACCAATCTCAGCTATACAGAAAAGTAAAACAAGTTGTGGGTGTGGTACTGGGAAGGGTTACAACTCCTCTGATGATTGCTTACAGAAGGAATCCTACTAACCTCATGGGACTCCTTAGGAGAGTAACTATGTGGTGGGATAGTATGACAGTTTAAACACCTTTGCTTTTTTAAATTTTTATTCTAAAAGTTAAAACTCTGTATTTATGTAGCCAGAAATGACATCACAGCCACAATATGTTAGCTCAGAAATTCATAAAAGTCCATAGACAAGATAAAGTCAGGATGAAATCCTGGTCCGGCTTAAGTCCATAACCAAGCTCCCATTGACCTCAATGGAGCCAGGGTTTTATGCTGAATGTGTAGATAATTTTTCTAACCTTACCATGTTAGGAACTAAATTTTTAAAATAATTATACATCATTACCACAGGATTGTGTCACCCTTTGCTTGAAAAAGAGAAGAATATAATATTTTTACAGTTTAAATATGAGATGCCCATTTATAAGACATCTATTATTAGGTATGGAAGAATCAAAACAAGTTTGCACTAGAGAAAAGAAAAAAAATCTTCTTTAATCAAATGTATATAAAATTAAGTTTTTGCTAAATTTGCAAATTCTGCAGTGACTTACCACCATTTTTTCCAGACAGGATACACCACTAGCTTTTAGCATTGGCTTCAATCTCTACCTAGGGTCCTAACACCAGCTGGGGGAGCGCCAGTGCCTAAAATAGTCTTGCAGCGTCTTAAAGACTAACAAAACCTGGAGATGATATCATGAGCTTTCATGGGCACAACCCACTTCTTCAGATGAATGGAATTAAAGGTCCTGTTTTAAAACAAATAGGAGATGGGGGGGAAGAAGGTGGGAAAAAAGGGGGGGAAGCTCTTGATACCATTTACAGGTTTTGTTAGTCTTTAAGGCGCTGCAAGACTATTTGTTGTTTTTTAAGTTTTTTCAGTTACAGACTAACTCAGCTATCCCTCCGAAGCTCCAGTGCATAGTTTAACATTCACTCACATTGTGACATGCTCTCTCCGGTGTTTCATCATCTGCCACAGCAGCAGCTCTCCATGCTTCAGAAAAGTATTTTTCTTGCAAAACCATAAATAATGCATGAACCAGCTTATTCTGTGGAGCTTCCTAAGTGTTTTATTAAATATTTCTTTGTGCATTGCTATGAGCTGAGGTGTTCCTTTACCTTGTGTTTCTCTTGCATTTAAAACCCTTGGTGCATCAGTGCCTCCCCTTTGTTACTGAGGCCAGAAAACCAATAGAAACAGTTTTAGTATCACTGTAAGCCAGAACATTTCTGATGTGTCACCACCAAATCAGGGTGTCGTGAAAAGGGAATGTCTTGGAAGGAAGGCAGGTAGGCCGTTCAGCATCTCCAAGCATAGTACTATGGCAGAACAACATCTAGGATACACAACCATGTTCCTTGCATTGCCTGCCTCAAAATTAATCATAATCTTTATGCATGCTTTTTCTTTTGGTACTACTCTTGAGCATCTTAAGTAGGAGAATAATTATCTATAAGGAAGAAAGTTATGGTCAGTGCATGGGACTAGGACTTTAATTTTTGGCTTTGGTACAGACTTCCTATATAACCAGGGGTAACTCACCTAACCTCTCATGTCTTGATTCCTCATCTTTAAAAAGGAGATAACCATACTTCTCTACTTCAGAAAACAATTTTTGGTGGTACACAGCCACCACAGTGATGGAAGCCAACAAATGTGCACCATCTACAAAAATGGGGGTAAATTTTAACTGTGGCATCTGAGCATTACTTTGACAATAGTAATTAATAATTACAGAGAGTTTCTTTAATGTACAGATTCTGACATATCAGAGTTCAAATTATAGAACAAACTACAGTAGTTAAAATGCAAAATGTGCCTATTCAAATATAACAAAAAGACATCTGTCAAATTTGAAAAAAGTTAGCCCTTAAACTGAGACCAGACATAAATGGAGTATCTGTCAAAGTCAGGATAAATTACACTGAAGTTTTACATAGAAGATTGACACAATAAGCTTTCAAAAATCTTTTTGAAGTGTAGTGCACATCTTTCTCATCTACACAGCATGATACTTACAGCATTCTCAAATGTATCTTAACAGAACACTTTTTACCTTTCAAGGGTTAACCTATCAGAATTCAGTATTTTCTCATCAGCCACACGATGCGGAATGGGAAATGCTGTTACTGACGAATTGCTCCCAAAATGTATGTTGTCTATCAGAAAATCATAGAAAAAATAACTTGAATTAGGTATTTTAAAAGCTGTTTTATTAATTCTGGAGAATAAGATGGCACATTCCTACGTGCCAAAAATTAAATATGCATTGGTCACGTTTGTTAGGACTCCATCAGGGTACTTAATTAACTTCACCCAATAACCATACTACACATAGACTTTTAAAAATGTAACCACTAATTTGGTTGATTTTACATAGCTTGATAACAACAGATTGTCTATCGTATGTTGTAAATTTGGAACTTGCTCTAAAGTTAACTATTATTGTTTTAGAATGCTCCTGAAAAATTCAGACATCAGGTTACAGGTTTCATTCATGTATTTAACTCCAATATCTGAATTCTAAGGAAGACATCTTCCAAATGAGAAACAGATGAACTAGAAGAATTTTATTTTACTTCACCCCAACTCTAAGCCTATAATTGGCCACCTGAAGTTAGACATTGTTTTAAAGGGGGGAAAACACGTCATGTTGGTGTGTGTGGATGACAATATTGTAAAAATGCAACAAAATTAAGCAGCCTAACATTATGAGGTCCAGTCGAGCAAATGCTAAGTAATTACTCACAAGGCCAGGAGTTCACAGCACCTTATAGGAATGGGCCTTAAATTTCCTTCTGTTATAGTAAAAGAAATGAGTGGGATGCCGGGGCAGCCTCTGTCCTCAGTGAGCCTGCACCTGCCATGGACAGAGGCTACTCTGCAGCAGCCTCCCCTGCGTCCCCTCACCCGGCGAGGGTGGGGAAGCTGTCAGATCCAATGCATGTGGGGAACTGGCTTTTAACTCCCCCTCCCCTTTGCTGCCTCTGATACGGGTCAACAAGATTAACTGATAAATCCAGGCTTAATTGTGTTGTTGTCTACACTTTTACATCCCTAATTTGGAGAAATAGGTCACTATGGCCATATATCAACATAAGAATGGAGACGCAAGTCCTATAAGTGCACAGCACAAATTCCTCCTTACATTATAATTAAAGTAAGTTTAAATTGGGGTTGGGATAAGGGAAGAATTTGAAAGAAGTAAAAAGAATAGTTTCTTTGACACATCAGAAAGTTCATTCCTTCTTGCCTCAAACCTACACTCAGGCTATACACACTGGCTACGTCTAGACTGGCATGATTTTCCAGAAATGCTTTTAACTGAAAAGTTTTCCGTTAAAAGCATTTTCGGAAAAGAGCACCTAGATTGGCATGGACGCTTTTCTGCAAAAGCACTTTTTGCGGAAAAGCGTCCGTGGCCAATCTAGATGCGCTTTTGCGCAAAAAAGCCCCAATCGCCATTTTCGCGATTGTGGCTTTTTTGCGCAAAACAAATCTCAGCTGTCTACACTGGCCCTTTTGTGCAAAAGTTTTGCGCAAAAGGGACTTTTGCCCAAACGGGAGCAGCATAGTATTTCCACAAAAAGCACTGATTTCTTACAGTAGGAAGTCAGTGCTTTTGTGGAAATTCAAGCAGCCAGTGTAGACAGCTGGCAAGTTTTTCTGGAAAAGCGGCTTTTTTTCTGGCAAACTGTCCAGTCTAGACACAGCCACTGATGGATACTGTGATTAGGTTGAATTTTTGGGGCTTGGGGTTTGTTTGTTTTTTTAACATAACACTTTCAGCATTTTCCCCTATTTTTTTCTAAACTCTTGTTTCTATTTCTTTGTAGGAAGCAGAGAGTAAGATGATAATATTCAAAATAATAATAATAATAATAATAATAAAACAACAACAACAACAGCAGCAGCAGCAGCAACTATGACATGGGGGAATATAATAAATAGCTAGAGAAAAATGAATACGTTTTGTACCCTACTAACCTTTACTTTGGTCTACTAAAATGATATTTGCTTTAGTTAAATAATGGTTTATTATTTTATCCTTATTTTCCTTTATATAGATTTTAAATATGCTGGTAATGCAAGGGGCCTACAGAATTCAGGTTCTGTAAGATGGCTGATGGCAATAGACGTAAGTGGTGAAATATATGCCTTGTTTGTGTAATTTTCCATAAAGGGGTGAAGCAAGAGTTTGTAGTCGGCGCAAAAACTTTATTTTTTTGAATCCTACCTGGAATTTATGGCACAAATCTGCTAAAATGACAGTTGTGATTGCACAGAGATTGAAATGTTCATAACTGTCATGTTAGCAGATTTATGCCATAAATTCCAGGTAGGATTAAAAAAAAAAAAAAAACTTTTTGCGGGAGATTTATAGACCGCAGCTTCCTGTGCAGCTTCCCGCACTTTCTTTGTGGCATAGGGACAGCATCCAAGAAACATCAGTCCCCATAATAAATATTCCTAAAATACCCAAAGATCTCTTCCAATCAAAGATGGTACCCTCAGATATCTTGGGGTGTTAGGTCCAGTTTTGGAAAAGGGGTGGTATATCCAGAACATTTTGGCACCAAAAGGGGTATTTAGGCCTAGTAATCCGGGAGATCGGGGCTGCGGGATCAGCACAGCTGAGAAGCAGTCCGCTCTGGGGTGCTTTATTATAAGGTCAGAGAAACTAAGTATTTATATCTATTTCTCCCTTTTGTACTTCCTTGCTTTCTTTCTCTAATCTTGTTTAAGTCTGCTTTTAGGAATCCTACTAACACTTGATTCCAGGTCTTCCAGGGGAAGGGAAGCCACCCTTCTCCATCCAGCCTTGGGATCCCTGTGTGTGTAGGAATTATTATTATTCTTTGTACACTTAGATAAGGTTTAAGTTGATTGTGTTAATGACATCTTGGGAAGAAATTCAAGTGATCTGTGTTCTTACTATTGTTTTTGCTGTGGTGATCATAATCATTATTCCATTAGCAATAAAGCTGTTTTCTATTTAATTCTCTGAGTTAAGGTGTGGTTGTTGTCCGTCACCTGTTAACCCTCAAGAGAGGGAGCCTCATGGTTCTACTGAACTGTGACTTGTGATAGAGGACGAACTTAGATCTTTTCTGATGAGATCGGCGAACCTTACCCATCCAAATTTACTAAACTCCTTCCCAGGCTACAGTTTTATCATAGCTATTTGGGCCAATACAAGCAAGATCAAAGACTTGAAAAATTAATTTGAAACATAACAGGATGCTTGAGCAAAGTACAGTACACTACTGGACAGTGGTTCATACAGGCAATAAAAAATTAGGGAAGAAGAAGAAATCTATATTTTAAAAAGATGCCCTTTTAATTTAAAACAACTAACAATTTATTGATAAGACTCATTCTGATCCTCATAATACAAAATCATAAAATTTGTAATTAGGGATGATAAAATGCGGGGGGACGAGAGGGATCTGGTAATTTTCAGAGGTTAAACATTTACATGCAGGCGGGAGAAAGGGGAAGTGGCTCCGCAGGAGCAGTGCAGAGGGTGCTGCTGGGAGCAAGTATACACAGGGAGCCTGCTTAAAAGCTGGCTCTCCGTATGTACTCATAATACAAAATCATAAAATTTGTAATTAGGGATGATAAAATGCGGGGGGACGAGAGGGATCTGGTAATTTTCAGAGGTTAAACATTTACATGCAGGCGGGAGAAAGGGGAAGTGGCTCCGCAGGAGCAGTGCAGAGGGTGCTGCTGGGAGCAAGTATACACAGGGAGCCTGCTTAAAAGCTGGCTCTCCGTATGTACCGGCTCCTGCAGAGCATACCAGGGCAGCAGCACAAGGGTGGTTAGGAAGCCTTGTGTGTAACCATGACAGTTAACTGATGAGCCCAGACTCATCGGTTAACCATTTAAACATGTACACGATTACCACCTTAGTTGTAACCTACAACTTTTCCTCAAGACACATAATTAAAAAGAAAAAAATTGGACTACATGTCAACACAGACTAGTTTCCATGGTTACCTGAAACACTTGGCCCAGCACTATGACAGCCCTGTCGGGTTCTGAATTTTGTAGGAGTATGAACAGAAGAATCCCCAAATGCAGACTGATAGCCTGAACCTTGTTTCAATTCCAGACCAGAAAGGTCTGCCAAATTAGCTGCTACTGGAACATACACCTGCTTATTTCGCACCAAGGGAGTCAAAAATCTTCCATCTCCTGAAGGAAAAAAAAGCAAATTACCACAAAGCTGCAGTTCATTGCACAATAAACTAAATTACACGAGATATATAGAAATCAGTAATTTATTTGTTAACATTTGTTTCTTTGCTTGTTTATTTTCATTTTAAACGACTTGACATGCTGTGACACAATACACCCCTGATAGTCACACCCTAAAGGCTACTGTAATAATCTTTGTACAAGTATGCCTTTGTCAGGTATCATGAAAACTCATACTTTGCTGGTCAATACTGTCCTGATCACATATAACCTAAAATATGTATTGTAACATAATAAGATTTCCCTGTATGATGTTATTAGCATATGTTACAAACCCCTCTACTCCCAAAACCGAAGCTGGCAAACAGGGCTGTCCTAAACAAAGGAATGTGTTTACCACTTAAATGCAAATTAACCAGAGCAGAGTCATCAAGCATGAAGGGAAACAAAAGAATCTCGAATAGGTGAAAAAGGGAACATCCTTCCACATAGACTCTGATTGCTAGTGCCCAGCGGGAAATGTTTTTCCAAGAGAGGAACTGAAATAAGAAAAAGGAGGGATAAACATCCCAACTAAGGATGTTAAATTTCAATTAATCAACTAATCAAGTAGTTGATGGAATTTCTATTGATTACTTGATTAGTCAATAAAGGGGACACTTGCTATACTATTGCACCTCTCCCTTTGAAATGTACAAGAGCCACAGATGGCTCTTGTATATTTCAAAGGGAAAGGGGCAGCAGTTGGGACTGGGGCGAGCAGGACTGTTTCAAACCCCGCCCATGCCATTTCCCCACTGCTCTCTGTCTCCCCTGCCCTCCACGGAGATGGTGCTAGGGGGAAACAAGTTTTGAAGCTGGCTCCTCCCAGCACCAGCTCCCCCACCCCACGCTCCGTTGCTGCCTCTCTCTGACAGAGGTAGCAAGGGGTGGAAGCAACTAGTAGAGTTCCTATTCGACTACCTGATAAACATTTGCTTATCAGGTAGTCTACTAGTCGCTTATATCCCTAATCCCAACATATCCCTTTCCCTCTCCTTGCCTACCACAGTCACTGCACTTGAAGCAGCAAAGGAAGCATCTGTTAGATTCTGAATTAAAGGTCCTATAGGATTTGGTCAGGCTCTTGAAACTATGTAGTGAGAAACTGCTTGAATCTGTTGCAGTTTCCAACATAATCCCAACTATATATACAAGATGATGGGGATAATTTGGCTACAACTACTCAAGAGAGAGATCTTGGAGTCACTGTGGATAGTTCTCTGAAAACATCCATGCAGTGTGCAGTGGCAGTCAAAAAAGCAAATAGAATATTAGGAGTCATTTAAAAAGGGATAGAGAATAAGCCAGAAAATATCTTACTGCCTCAATATAAAACCATGGTACTCCCACATCTTGAATACTACGTACAGATGTGGTCGCCTCATCTCAAAAAAGATATATGGGCACTGGAAAAGGGTCAGAAAAGAGCAACAAAAATTATTAGGAGTTTGGAGCTGTGGCGTAGTGGGGGTGCTGTCTGCTCTGTGACCCGGGGTCCCCCTGCGCTGTGATGGGAGATTCTCACTGACTCTCCCAAATGTGTATTAACCCAGACTCAGCCTCCGAGGGAGGGAGACAAAGGAAGGAAGGTGGAGACCAACACCTGGTTGGGGGGCAGGGCTGGAAGTGAGTTTTAGTTTCTGTCTGGTATCATGGAGGAAGCAGCCTAAGCAATGGGCTGGGATTTAGGGGCCCAGTCTCCCCTATTTCAAGGGGGGCTGAGGCATCCTAAGCCTGTCCTGTAATCAGATTACATCTATGCTGTGCTGTATCCTGGAGATGCAATAAACGCCCTATATTCTACTGGCTGGTGGAGTCTGTTCATGCCATTACGGGGGTGCTGGAGGGAGGGGAACCCCGACGTGCCACCACAGGAACGGGTCCCATATGAAGAGAGATTAAAAAGATTTGCACTTTTCAGCTTAGAAAAGAGGAGACTAAAGGAGGGGGGGATATGATAGGGGTCTATAAAATCATGACTGGTATGGAAAAAGTGAATAAGGAAAAGTTATTTACTTATTCCCACAATATAAGAACTAGCAGTCACCAGCAGGTTTAAAATAAACAAAAGGAAGTTTTTCTTCACTCAGTGTACAGTCAACCTGTGGAACTCCTTGCCAGAGGATGCGATGAAGGGTAGAACTTTAACAGGGTTCAAAAAAGAGCTAGATAGATATAAACCAAGGTTTCAGGGCAGAGTGACACAGTTGCTCATTAGTTTTGATTGTAACAAGGTATGTCACACATGCATAAAGAACTGAGTGGTGTATAGAGACTTCAAAATCACTGTAATCAAACCAATCTTATGTTTACACAATCACAGTTCCTGTAGGACTGCAGGCAGCAGCAACATGGCAAAAAACAATGAATGGCTCCTTCCATCCTCAATACAATTAACAGTGAAATCTTAGATGACTTTTTCCTCCCAAAGGCTAAGATGTCTCCTTATTTTAAAAAAAGTACTTGGCAAATAACTCCTATTTTCTTCCCAGCAGAATTATTCCCCACTTTAAATAGGACTTTGATTTAAAAACAGTCTTGTTTAGTTCAACCAAAGCAAAAAAAAAAAAATCCTTCAGGCACACAGTGGTGGTCACTCCACAATATAGCTGCGCCCTTGTGCTTGCTGTCCCCAGAGCATAACTGTCTCTCCAATCAGGCCCTTTCCATGTTATGAACAATCAAATTCCAGGCACAACTTGCCACAACCAAACCAAACTGACTTTGCTTTAAGTTAGGTTAAGAGGAAGCTACATACCAAATTTCATAGCCCTTCATATAGAACATTAAAAAGTTTCCATGGAATGATGGACAATTTATATGATTTTTATAAAGCATGATATGATTATTACATGAAAAGCTACATTACTCAAATAACATATTGGTAAATAGCATTACATGTTAAAGCAGCAATCACCACCAAAATTGCATTACAATGAATTTGTAAACCAACACAAAATTAAAATTAGAGATAATCTCCCGTGCCCATACACCAAGATGAGAATACAGTCAAATCTTTCATATACCAAAAATAAATAATATATAAAAAACACAAAATAAGTTTCTGTATGCTAGTTAAACCATTTCTTTTACAATTAATGCAATTTAACTAGCGAAGGAAACATCACCTTGTTTTCCTGAATAGTTTTTTTCCAGATCATGTTGCAGGAGCCTGTTGTGGAAAGACGACTGGTCTTTATTTATCCTGAATTCAAACTGCAACACAATATTTAAAATGTGACATAAATGAAACAACAATTTAAATACACATATTGCTTTCCAGTTAACTGTAATAATTTGTTACACTGTTATAATTTAATTAAGAAAAATATTTCTTTTCTGAGGGATGATAATTAATAACAGATTTACCCTATGTTAAAATGTATTAGTCACTTCAATTAAGCAGTAAAACTCACATTTCACTATGTAGTACCAGAAATACTTCATATGGCAGATTTAATAGGCATATTATAAGTATCTAAAACAGATTACATACAATTATGTTAATTTAAAATATCTCATTACCAACAAGAAAATGGACAGAAAATACAAACAATACTACAGTTATGCTGAAGTTTTCAAAGGTGCCTGGAGTAGATGAATAACCACTTCCCAGCAAAGCTGAACTGGGGAACTTGCACCACACCAGACAACAGACTCCCTGCCCAGCAGAATAGGAAAACTAGAAAGGAGGCACAACCAGATGCTGAAACTTTTTCTGGGTTCATTGCAGAGCAATGATTGACCCCAGTGCTTATATTTTATATAGCTGCCCCCAATGAATGAAATAAACCATCATAAATCAAAATACTAACAACCAAATATGTAAAAAGCTATTTTAAAAAGGGAAATTTTATCTACAAGAATACTTTTGCCTCTATATTAATTAATACATTTCAAATATCTAATTTATAGTTCAGTAATTTATATATATATTTAGAACTCACTGGTTTATTTCTCTCTGCCACTGATGAGGTTTGGATAACCAGCTGAAGCCCGCAGTTGTTAACCTGTAAATTGAAACAAAAATTTCATTTTGCAAAAACTGGATGCTTAAAACAAAAGGCCAAATATGTCTTATTAATGTGGAAAATTCTCTGATTCGTTCAATAAAGAAGACAGTCTTAGACAACATTGTCATAAAGGGTCAAAAGCAAATTCATTTATGATAATCTGAACTCATGACCCAGAGTCATCATACTTTCTTTCAGCTTTATGCTTAGGACATGTTTACTCAGAAGCATTATTTCAGAATAACTGACGTTATTTCTAAATAACAACATGTATATCTACACAGAAAGCAATTCTTTCGAAATATTTTCAAGATGGTGGACTTCTTACTCCAACTTCTGTAACGGTATGTCTACACTGCATTCCTCTTTTGAGAGAGGAATGCAAATGCAGCCGAGCGAAATTGCAAATGAAGCACAGATTTGAATTTCCCGTGCTTCATTTGCATAATTGTGTCCGGATGATATTTTGAAATACCCTATTTCGAGATAAAAAATGCCATGTAGACGTGGTTATTCTGAAAGAAACCCCTTCTTTCAAAATAACCATTAAACCTCATTTTTTAAAGAATAAGGGTTATTTCAAAAGAAGGGGTTTCTTTCAAAATAACCACGTCTACACGGCGTTTTTTAGCCTTGAAATAGGGTCTTTCGAAATAGCGGCTGGACTCGATTATGCAAATGAAGCGCAGGAAATTCGAATCTGCACTTCATTTGCAATTTCGCTCGGCTGCATTTGCATTCCTCTCTCAAAAGAGGCAATAGCACAGCATGGGGGGGTGGATCTGGAGCTCATGGGGAACCTGCTTATAGCCAGCTCCTCACAGGCACTGATTCCCTCTCCCCCCAACACTTTGTTGCCTCTGATACAGAGGCAGCAAGAGGGGTGGGGAGTGTATGCAGTTGCCTATGCTTATTGGTTAATTGTTTACTTGACTATATGCTAACATTCCAATATCATATACTGTTATCCTCTCACCCAAGCTGTGCCTTCCCTCTACAATGCTGCTGCCTGGCATAGGAAAAGACACTGCTGGAGCGTAAATGTCCTGCTGCAGCGTTACCCAACCAAAGGGAAAGTCTCCAAGGGTAGTCTGCTTGCTCTGCCATTAGAGCTTTTCACATTGACACATGTGCAACTTGCTTTTCACTGAGGAGCACAGTAGGGATGTACAGGTTACTCAAGTAACAGCTTAACCGATAAGCAACTACTTATTGATTAGCAGTCCTGGTTAACCATAACAACTCCCCTCACTCAGAAAGGCAGGCTGGCTCCATCATAGCCTGCTGGTCTGAGTTTCAAAGGAAGAGCATGCAGGGGAGCCACCTACCACCCTGCACTGCTGCCTCCATAGCAGCCCCTGTTGGTGGGGGACCCGAGCTCCCCATGGAGAAAAGCTACTCCAGCGTCCCATGGAACAGTCGCTATCCGAGGCAGGCCCAGGCACCCCGTGGACAGGGGACGCCGCCACCCTGTGTTGCTGCCTCTGCTACAGAGGCAGCAGTGTGGGTGGAAGGGAGGTCCCTGGGAGTGGAACCGGGAGTGCACTGGCTGCCAGCCCCACCCCCAGAGGGGCACCAAGTAATCCTGTAACTGCAAAGAAATTTAGCAGTTACACAGTTATTAAAGTAACAGATTTCTAACATCCCTAGTGTACAGCTAAACATAACATACCCCACAGAACCGTGGTGTATAGGGTAGCATAGCTAGTAAAGTATGTGAGTGCGCGTGTACACCCCCACACCCACACCCACACCCACCCACACCGACACCCACACCCACACCC